TGTCTGCTTAAACGCCATCATTACTTGAACAAGAAATGATCTTTCCAGATCAGCTGAACAGAAACATTAAAATGACAACCTATTACAGTCTGCAAGTATGTAAAAAAAAAAAAAACCAAAAACACTTTTTTTCTAGTTCTTTAAAATTTGCATGAGTAAATCACAATCATACAGCAACCTTGAATAAAACACCTATTTTCATCTTTAAATGCTCTAGATATTTCAGATACAACGAAACAGGTATGCAAAACCTTAACTATTAGATATTTCATGATAAATACTTTCCTTCTTCATGAACATACAATAGCATGAAAACTAGAACTTTACGAAAGGCCTGCGTGGTGGGTGAACATATTTTTTTCTGCTTTTCTTATGGTAAAACCCGGCAGAGAAGCTCTCACTCAACACATCAGAGGAGCTTAATATTTACAAGAGAAAAAAAAGAAGCAAAAACAGGAAAACATCCACATGGGCAAGCGTCCCCCCCAGAGACTGGACAGACGCCAAGACGTGGCAAAGAGCGACCCCGAAACTGTCCACGCGAGGACAGACGGCGGCGGGCTGGGAGTCCCAGAAAGGAGGCCACCTTTTCCCAGCGGGAGCTCCCCCAAGATGAGGAGCTGGGACCCACCCGGGTAATTCAGTCAGCTCTTACCAGTCATATGCGGGTACCTTTCCCAGGTCTCACACTTGATCCGACTTAGCAAACTTCACATCGCCAGGGAGTTGCCACTTGTCTGCCGGCCACCGACCAGAACTAGGAACCGGCTTCTCCTTCCGCCGGAAATCGCTTCTATGACGTCACCACGTCTCCATTCCAAGCATCAGTTGACCGGCCGCCACCAATCGAAAGGGCTCTTCCTCCTCCTTCCCCGCCCCCCTCCTGCCGCGACTCGGTCGCCATGGTAACCAGTCACCGTTTGCGGGGAGACTACTGGTAGCAGTAAGTGCCTGAGGTTGGGGAGGGGAGCAAACAGCTTTCCCTCAATCTGCACAATTCGCTTTAATTCTCCTCTGTCCTACCTCAACGACGATCATTTCTGTCCTCCTCGTCTACGAGCACCCTACCCCGACCCTAGATCTCTTCACCTTCTTCAGGCCTCTTTATTTTTTTTATTATTATTTTTTTTATTGTGAAAATACCATACAGAGGGGTTACAATTACATGGGCAAGATAATGAGTACATTTCTTATCAAGCATTGTAGCCTCCTCCTTTGTTTCCCCTTCCCATTCCTTCCCATCCTCCCCCCATCCCCCCACCCAACCCTCCTTACCCCCCCCCCCCCCACCAAAGTTGTAAAGTTGATTTTCGACATAATGACTTGTACATCTCATTGCTGCAATGGGTCCACCTGTATCCCTATTTAAACGATTTGTTTTTTCCCTTCCCCTCCACAAATTATACCAACATCAAATACAGTGAAAGAAGGGGTTATACCGTGGGGGAGGGACATACAAAGCAACAAAGAAATCATCTTTTAAATGTGTTAGAAACAATAGCAAGAAAGAAAAACCATTTGAGTCCTTATCTTGGGGTTCATTTCACCTAACATCAACTTATCTGACCATTTCTGCTTGTCTCAGACATATACTAGTTATTGCAAATAAGGGAAACCATGGGCCTTATGTTTCTTTGGGCCTGGCTTATTTCACTTATAATTTTTTCCAGGTGTTTCCATTTCCTAACAAATGGGGCAGGTTTCTTCTCATTACCTTACCTTTGTTCCTTTGGGTTTGGACTGAAAGGTGGGAGACGGGTTGGTTACAAGAAGGATGAGGAGATCGGATAACGTGTTTACCTAATTATTTCTTTCAGACTATGGCACGTGGCTAACTTTTTTATGTAATTTTATTTAGTTTTAGTGTTTATGTGGTACCAAGGAATCGAACCCAGGGCCTCATGCATGCTAGGCAAAAGCACTCTAGCACTAAGCTACATTCCTTGCCCCATGGCTTAATTTTTTTTTTTTAAGTTCTGAATTGGGCCTAGTAGAGTACTTGTTTAACATCTACAAGGTCTGGGTTTAATTACCAGTACTAACCCAATAAAGTTCAAAACCCTTTCACATTTGCTATCTCGAATTGCCTTTACTTCTGTAAAAGCCCAGTGAGGCTAGTAACAATGATGTTATTTTCCCACTTTGTAGATGAGAAAACAAAGCAACAGTAAAGACCAAAGAGCTAATTACTAGCAAAAAAAAAAAATCTGGATACTTAGCCACCCTACCTAATCCTGGGATAATTATGTGATAGTTTCAGGTGCACAGAAAAAGCAAAATAAAGTGTTGTTATCTATTCAAATTAGTCAGAGGGAACTCTAAAATAGGCACTTGGGGTTTTATTCCTGTTAGTTTTTCTATCTTCCACCTCACTTTTTCCCTTTCCTCTTTTCTTTTTATTATCTTTGCTCTGTGCTGCATTACATTGATCTCTCTTGCATGCCTTATCTCTGAGGGTTAAAAAAAAAAACATCATGTTTTTTGGCACAGTGGGTTTATTGTTGCTACTGCTTTTGATTTTTCTTTCTTTTTAAAATCCTCTTTTCTCCAATATCAGTTTGACAAGACCAAAGATAAATTTAAGCAGGATAAATAAAATCCCATTATAGATAATTATTTAATGATAATATTAACTACAAAGTATAATTGAATGGTGCAGGTAAGTTTAAAATCTAAAAATGAAAATATAGGTTAGGGTATACACAGGATTTTGTCATATTTAAAGAAGACACACAGAGCCGGGCGCTGGTGGCTCACGCCTGTAATCCTAGCTACACAGGAGGCTAAGATCTGAGGATCGCGGTTCAAAGCCAGCCCGGGCAGGAGAGACCGTGAGACTCCTATCTCCAATAAACCACCAGAAAACCGGAAGTTGCGCTGTAGCTCAAGTGGTAGAGCGCTGGCCTTGAGCCGAAGAGCTGAGGGACAGCGCCCAGGCTCAGAGTTCAAGCCCCACGACCGACAAAAAAAAAAAAAAAATACTTTCCCCATTAAATCCCAAATACTTTGCTATGTCATTTCTCCATACTTATGGTTTTCATCCCTAGAGCATACTAACTTTTTAATCTCCATAGTGTTATTATTCACTCAAAATTATATCATGTCATCTGGTATCTAGACCTTGTTTACATTTACTCATTTTTTAGTTATTTTTTATTGTGAAAATACTGTACAGAGGGGTTACAATTACATGGGCAAGACAATAAGTACATTTCCTATCAAGCATTGTAGCCTTCTCCTTTATTTCCCCTTCCTATCCCTTCCCATCCTCCCTCCACCCCCGTTTACTCATTTTTTTTTTTCAGAAATATATTTTGCTATGGTTAGTTTTCTTGAATTAGGAGATTGCTTGTTCTGTGCTCTAAATACCTTTTTAATTTATAGGTTTCATTTCTTCCTTTTCTTCTTTTATTGTAATCAACCTATGGGCAAACAGATCAGTTGTCTTGTAATCTAACCCTATTGTATTAGGATAAACCTCATGAAATAATTAGTACATAAATCCTTTCTCAATTATTTTTCTGTTTCATTTTCGCAAGCAAAACTATCTAATAGGAATATAACATAAGGCACTACTTTAAGCTACACATGATGTTAAATATGTTAATTTAACTCAACAGATCCAGTATACTATTTAAAATATAGTCAATTTAAAATTACCAATGAGAGCCGGGCGCTGGTGGCTCACGCCTGTAATCCTAGCTACTCAGGAGGCTGAGATCTGAGGATCGCGGTTCAAAGCCAGCCCGGGCAGGAGAGACCGTGAGACTCCTATCTCCAATAAACCACCAGAAAACCGGAAGTGGCGCTGTAGCTCAAGTGGTAGAGCGCTCGCCTTGAGCTGAAGAGCTGAGGGACAGCGCCCAGGCCCAGTTCAAGCCCCACGACCCACAAAAAAAAAAAAAAAATTACCAATGAGGTATTTTACATTCATTTTTTCCTCCTAAATCTTCCAAAACTGATAGATATTTTGAGCATACAACAAATTTCAATTTGGGCCAGACTCATTTCAGATGTGTAATGGACAGTTATTATATTGAACAGCACAGGTCTAGAGAATCAAGTCTTAACTTGAGTGTGTGTGTGTGTGTGTGTGTGTGTGTGTGTGTGTGAGTGAATATTAGGGCTTGAACTCTAGACTTTCACTCTAGCCTGAATTTTTTTTTGACAACTGGTGCTCTACCCCTTGAACCTCCAGTTCCAACTTATTGCTGATTACTTACAGATAAATATCTCTTTTTTCCCTTACTTAAATTCCTACTTTCTTCCTCTCTTTAATTTTATTCCTTCTTTAAATCCTGGTCTTTGGAGATTATTTCTTGTGTAGTTCTTATTTGCACCCATCATATGATACAGCACATGGTTTAATTTAGATGTACATCCTGATTCCCAAGATGGATTGCAAGCTTTCTGAGGTCAAGTTCATTTCTTCTGTCTGAGAAACTAAGCACTGGGTGTCTTGCTTCATTCTCTGAACCTCTAATGATGTATATGTGTGATAGATTTGTGCCTCATACAAGTAGCATAAAGACAAGATTGACCATACTCTTCTCCAAGTCTTCTCTATCGGGGTGATGTTCAAACCAGCAGGTACATGACTATAAATGCTGTGTGAGAGAAAATATCAAATGATTTAACATTAATAATAGCTTAGAGGTACTCAAACAGAACAGATTACTTAAATGAAATCCTTGAATCAAGATGCAGCGAATTCAGGAAGATGTATGGAAGCTTTAAGTTTTAAATAATGCTTTGTAGAAAGAGAAGGCTGAATAGTGAGAATTAGAGAAATTTCTGTCATAAAGCTTATACAGTAAGTAGAATCAACTCTAATGAACAATTGCTATTCGGTGGATCCGGTATATATCCCCAAGTCCATGTGTCAATGTCTTGGGCCCCGCCCATTGTCTTGTTGGAAGGTAATGAATATTTAAGAAGTGGGGCCTAATAGGGTGAAGTTAGGTATTAGGAACATACTATGAATCTGCATATTGGTATACATGGTCCTGATAGACTCCCTTGCCACATGGGAAGAGGCAACTGGACCATCATCTTTGTTGACTGAAACCATGAACCAAAATAAACCTTTCCGTTTTGTAAGTTGATTATCATAGGTATCTTGTTACAGTAATAGGAAACTAATATAATAGCCCTGTCTCTGTTTTTAGAAATGGTGTTTGCATTTTTCTTTTTTTGTTGATAGTTTTTTTTTTTTAAATTTTGGTCAGTCGTGGGGCTTGAAGTCTGGGCCTGAGCGCTGTCTCTCAGCAATTCAGCTCAAGGCCAGCACTCTACCACTTGAACCACGGTGCCACTTCCTTTGTTGATAGTCTTAATTTGGTCCACTCTCTTCTTCATTGTGCAGCAATGCTCCATCATCAGTGAAAATGTACTGAATTTGTCTAAGGAAAAGCAAACCTGTTGCTGTTTTTCTTATTTATTTGCTTAATTTCAATTATATGCGTATTTCAAACTTTTTAAAGGTCGTTACCTGAAATCTTATTGCAATTTTCCTATCCCTTCACAATTGATGTTTTTTTTAGCGTTCCACAAACCTGTTAAATATATTACATAAAATCCATCTTTTGTTTTCCTTTAGTAATCATAATTAGTATCAACTAATTTTCTCCACTAGTTCTTTCCCTCTTTCTCTTCTTTTTTCCCCTTCTTTCTCTTCGTATGACTTCTCTGTGTATATTCCAACTCTTCTGAGAAGTATGATAATCTCTTTCAGTTATATGAGAACATTGCTTTTTTATTTTTATTTTTTTGGTGCCAGAATGGGGGCTTGAAATGAGGGCCTAGGCAATGTCCCTGAGCTTTTTCATTCACAGCTAGTACTGTACTACACAGTTCTATTTCCAGATTTTTTTGGTGGTTAATTTGAAATAAGAGTCTCAAAGGACTTTCCTGCCTTGGCTGGCTTTGAAGCATGGCCCTCAACTCTCAGCCTCCCGAGTAGCTAGGACTACAGGCATGAGCCATGGTACCCAGCTGAATATTGCTTTTTAAACTTTCTTCCTTAATTTTTAAATCTGAAATTTTAAAACCTACATTTAAAAAATTGTCATGTAATTGACTCACAAAAGAAAGGTTAATATGATCAAGTGGTGTTAATTTATGGGTTAAGATGTGTTAAACAGTTGATAGAAAGTCTGTTTAAGTCAATTAGAGAGTATAATGAAGATGTTTCCAGGGTGTTATGGAACCTTTTAAAGTTAGATTGGAATTTACTAATATATATTAACCAGGGCACCTTGCTTAATATGCAATTGCATTTGGGTTTTTAAATTGGTGTAATTTAATAGATAATAATAGATAATAATAATATTTAGAAGAAGTTAGCTTTATTAATAAGACTCATGTTCTGATATTGGAATTGAATTTGTGATTTAATCCATTATAAATAAAATGGAAAGCAGCATTGACATATTCAGATCATATATATTTTTCTAAAAATGCATCTGTATTGTATACATTAACCAATTATTTCTAGTTTTGGTTTATTTACCTCCTTTTTTTTTACGTAGTATCATTATATAAAGGTAGGATTTATAAAGATATATGATTTGTTTTCTCTGAGAAAATTATCCAAAGTAATACTATGACACATTTTGGTATTGACTAGTAGCTTCAAAAATTTCAGAATGATATTATTATTCAGAATTTAGTGTTACTATCCTTCGTTGCAAGAGTTGAATATAATTTTGTAAGATGATAGCTCTGTCTAACAGGAAAAGAAGCACTGCAACTTCAACTGTTTATATCCACAAGAGATATGAGGATAAAAATCATATTTCAAACTATATTCTTCACCTAGTGTGAGAGTTGCTATGGTACTATTTTTTATTACTTGTGTCAGTTTTCTAGTAAGAAACACATTTAGCATTTCAACTCCTCTCAACCTTTCAGTTTAATTATTTGGAGATGGATGAAAAACAAGTTTTATATGCTAGAGGGATTTCTACGATGATGGATTAAATGCCAAAATAATGAAAGCACACAGCTTAAAAAATATACCGAAGACTAGATGTTTTCTAATGAATTTCCACAAAATACCATATTTTGTAACAATTTATGGTATTACTTTTCGTTCTCCTATGGAATCGCCATGAGTATAGTCTTTTGTAGCTCATTAGCAAATTCTTTAATGAGTTTTTTGGTGTGATAGATAGTTAAAATAACAGACAAATGACAGATTGTTTGCCTTTAATGATTTCCCTGTTTCAAGCCCATTACAAAGCAATTAGAAATCTGACAGCATTTTCACTCTGCATTACTGATCATCTAAAGTGATGAGAAATGAGAGGTGATGAATATTAATTGTATATTTTCATATGATTATCATAAATTATTACCTTGTCTGATGTGCTGCAGGTGAAGCAGGAACATTAGAGAAAGGCACTCAAATATATTAATTTGGAAGACTATATGGTTTTAAAAATCTGTGTCAGCAGTATAAATCCTGGCCTACAATTTTCATCTCTATGAATATTTCTCTGTGAATATTGAATTAGTTATTTTTAGTTTATTTGGAGCAACTTATATACACATTCTTATTTGAATACAAGAAAAGAAAATATCCCATAGTACTATACATGCATATATATTTAAATTCAGGATTTAAAACTTTTAATTTATAAAGTGAGGTATCAGTCAGTTTTGTTGATTATATATACACAATATATAATATTGATTATATATGCACAAAATATAATATTTGAAAATACTAATACAGAGGAAGATACACTTAGAAATAGATTTGATGTTAGTCTTTTTTAAATAAGTTTTTATTGTGAAAATACCGTACAGAGGGGTTACAAGTACATGAGCAAGGTAATGAGTACATTTCTTATCAAACATTGTTGCCTCCTCCTCTGTTTTTCCCCTACCCTGCCCTCCCATCTCCACGACTATACTTCCCCGCCCCTCACCAAAGTTGTAAAGTTAGTTTTTTGACATCTCATTGTTGCAATGGGTCCACCTGTATCCCTATTTAAACAATTTGTTTTTTCCCTTCCCCCTCCCCAAATTATACCAACATCAATACAGTGACGTTAGTCTTAAAGTCAGGTAATCCTGCAAAATAAGCATCAAGATAGGAAAGTATAGCCAAATATGGAATGAGATTGTTCTAGGTTCTCTGAAACAGTTGTTTGGGTCTTTGCCCATAATTTATTCCATTTCATATATCAGGATTCAAGTGCTATTGTTACTTGTTATTGCCTTAGATTCGGAGCAGATATTCATCCAGAAGTCAAGATATAATGTTTGGGATTGTATACATAGACAAACCTGAAGCATTTGAAATGATTAGAAACATATTTGGGTCAATTTTACCAAAGTAAATTAGTTTACATTTTTTTATCTATCTAGTGGCATATATCAGCTGATAATAAATATATGATGAAATGAGTTGAATTTCTTTGCAATAATGAGGTTATGTTATCTTTTGTGGATTGTTTGGTGTATACCATCTTAGTTTCATCTTTATGGAAAAAGACTATTAATCTATATGATACTGATTATAAGTCAATAAATATGGTTTTCTATGTTACTTAGGAGTAATTCTGTTTGTTTCATGTCAAATTTTGTTCATTCTCATTTTATATGCAGTAAAAATACTATATATGTGATAGGCCTTCACAAAGTTTTTCTGGAAGGTAAAGAACTCTGAACTTCATTATGTATTTGTTCTGGGAAACGTCAAGTATAATGAAAAGAAAATTATCAGCAAAATGGGTTGAATCACTAAGATTTAGTAGCCAAAATGTCTGTTCTTTCTTCAGGATTTTGCTATTCATATATATAATAAGTCCAACGAAGGAATCAGAGTGCTGATTATCACTGCCCTTAACTCCTTTCTTCTGGTCTTCATGATCCCAGTCTCAGTGCAGACTTTTACATTGTTTCTTTCTAAAACCCGACCAATTTGCCTTCATTTCTCTTTCTACCTTCTAACATACCACTGTATTATGTTTTTGTTATTATAATAGAACGTCAGAAACAGGATTACTTTATAAAGGAAAGAGATTTAATTCCTATCAGTTCTGGAGATTATGAGCTGATGGCTTTGGTGAAGGCATCACAGTAAATGACACCACAGTAGTGGGAGGACATGAGAGAGCAGGTCACACTACCAGACATTTAGCCAAAGAATGATTCAGGGGCCAAACTTGGGCTTTTAAACAAGTCACTCTGGTGAGAACCAACTTAGGGGTCTCATAAGAGCTATCCTAATCCATGTTGAGGGCATACTCTAAAGACTTCTTAGTAGAGTCTCATACTATTGCCATGAAGACAAAACTTCCAACACATAAATCTTCAGACTAACACAGCCAAACCACCACCCAGCATACCTGTTTGGCTTTTTGGTCAAAGTACCAATTCTTTCTTTAGATAAACTGGTTTGAAAAAATATACATGTTTTTCCTAAGACAGGGAATATCTTCCCATGCTTCAGTTTACAGAAATTTAAGCTGTCCAAATATGGCACAGTTAGTCACACAAAAGAAGAGGAAACAAATATTTCTAGATATTCTTTGCAGAGAAAGGAGATTTATTGTGTGGCAGGTTCAAAAAGACCACACTCCAGTATATCTCAGTCATCTTCTATCTGAAATATTCTCTTAAGTGGCTAATATGTTAGTGATGAAAGGACTTTAACAGTCTTTTCATTCCCATTTAAAAAAATCAGATCAGGAAAAATGAATCCAAGAGAGTTTAGTTCCGAGCTCCAGAACTTGACCCAGGTCCAGTGAGCTTGGCCATGTGATACACTGCCTTCCCATCTACTGAAGCTACAGGACCATTTATTTTAGTTGTATCTTTTCAGTTATTAAATAAATGATTGATTTCAGCGCTGGTTTGATAAATATAAATATTCCCTCCTTACTATTCTCATTACAATGTTTTAGTTATAAAACTTCTTCGTGTCTGGAGTGCCTTAAGAGGCAAAGGAAAGAGTGTGTGATTGCTTTGTTTCCAGAAGTGAGGGCGGTGGGGGAGATTAAGAGCAGATACTCGTTCCCATTTCTTTCTTAGTCCAGTGATATAAATAACAATAAAGTACTCTTCCCTTTCTAGCCTGGAAACT